AAGTTTATGGAGATGCTGCTCTAAGTGAAACAACGTTGCCGTGATTGGTTCCGTCGCTTCAAAGACGATGATTTCGATGTTGACGACCGTCTGCGTGAAGGAAGGCCAAAATCCTTCGAAGACGCTGAATTGGAGGCATTCCTCGATGAGGATCCGTGCCAAACGCAAGAAGAGCTTGCTTCAGCATTCGGAATTACCCGCCAAGCTATTTCCAAGCGATTGCATGCGCGAAAAACGGCCACAATACGAGCAGAGGCACGAAAAAGTGATTCTACAGCATGACAACGCTCGGCCTCACGTTGCCAACCCCGTTAAAACCTACCTGGAAACGCTCAAATGGGAAGTCCTACCCCACCCGCCATATTCCCCAGATATTGCGCCGTCCGATTATTACTTGTTCCGTTCGATGGCACATGGTCTGGCTGATCAGCAGTTCCACTCATATGAAGACATCAAAAAATGGCTTGATTCGTGGATAGCCTCAAAAGATGAACACTTACTGTAACGGTATTCGAGCTCTTCCAGAAAGATGGGAAAAAGTTGTAGCTAACGATGGGCAATACTTTGAATGATTCATTTTTTCACAATAAACATAAAAAAAACAGCGAGAACTTAGTTGCGCACTTAATAAATGAGTGCAAATACAGTTATTACGTTAAAAATAGCATTAATCATTAGGTTTTTATTTGCATTTTCTTCAGAAAGTAGATCAATTTTTCATTAGTACAGAAAAGCTTAAAGCTAAAACCTTAAAAGCTTAAAGCTTTTAAGAGGATGCTGAAAAGTCGGAATTACCGACAAATTACAGTTTAGTTAATTTCTCCGAATTGACTGAACGGAATTGAAAATCCTTTCAGAGGATTAAAATAGACATAAAATTGTGGTGTGAGACGGACAAATTTGTAGTAAAATCGCAAAAAATTGAAAAACAGATATCGCCTGACGTAAACATTTTATTATTGTAAAAGTTGTATAGCTGATATGTACAAAATGCTTACCTCTCACATCACAAAATACCTGAACGAATCATACAGAGCCTTTTGAGTTACAATTGAAAGCATAGAAAAAAAGATATCCATTAAATTGTAATTTGTGGTAATTCGATCGCTCGGCTAAAGTAAAGACAGCAAAAATTGCGTTTGGTAGTAAATGCCGGATTTTCCAAGAGATGGCACTTCAATAAGTTAAATAAGGACACGTGTTTGAGTGAGACCAGAAGATATTGTAAGAAGTTCATTTAAAGATACCACTGACACTGAAAAGTCTGCTTTATCGATCTTGTACAAATTTGGCCGACCTTTCAGCATCCTCTTAAGTTTTTAACTAAAGGTGTGCAAACGAAAAATCGGTCTGTTGCGAAAAGTGCAAACGAAAAAAATCTGTCGATTGATTATTTTAAACGTAATAACCATGTTTTGAACTTATTTACTAAAATCAACATTTTTGAAACTTTAATTGTTAATAACTTTTTAACTAAGGATGTGCAAACGAAAAATCTGTCTGTTTCGAAAAGCGCAAACAAAAACCTATCGATTGATATTATTTTAAACGTAATAACCATGTTTTAAAATTATTATATTTATCAAAAATATATATATTTTTGAAATTTGAATTGTTAATAACTTTTTAACTAAAAGTGTGCAAATGAAAAATCGATCTGTTTCGAAAAGTGCAAACGAAAATCTATCGATTAAGCTATTTGAAATTAATTTGCTCGTAAATAGGCTATCGTGAAGTTGGCCCCCTCAAAATTGTTTTTTTAATCATTTTTGAACTAAGAGGATGCAAACAAAAAATCGATATATTTCGAAAAGTGCAAACGAAAACTTATCGATTAATACCATTTTAAACGTAATAACCGTGTTTGAAACTTATTTACCAAAATCGACTATTTTTGAAATTTTAATTGTTAATAACTTTTTAACTAAGTATGTGCAAACAAAAAATCGATGTGTTTCGGAATGTGCAAACGAAAATCTATCGATTGAGCTTATTTGAAGTTAATTCGCTTGTAGTTAGGGGGCTATCATGAAGTTGGCCCTCCCAAAATTGTTTTTTTAATAACTTTTGAACTAAGGATGTGCAAACGAAAAATCAAAATGTGCATACATGTACAAATGATGAGCAATTGAATAGGCTAAAGAAATTTAATTTTTTTAATGTTGGGGGGCTAACTTCACCAGGGTTCCCACGCGGCAGCGACGGTCCTCGCCGGCACTCTACCGGCGGACCTAATAGCCGGAGCCTTTGCCGAGCGGCGGGCTCTGGCGGCCCGCCTGAAGGGTGTGCAACTAATGAGGAGGGCTGTCGACCTGGTTCGTAGGCAGGCGCGCGATAACGCGTTTGCGGCGTGGAGCGACCGCCTGTGCGAGCCGGACGTCGCTGGGACTCGGACCATAGAGGCTGTCCAGCTCATCCTCAAAGAGTGGTCTGACAGAGGATGGGGGGGTTTGACCTATCGCCTCACACAGGTGCTCACCGGGCACGGGTGCTTCGGTGAGTACCTGCTAGTGATGGGCGATGTTGCTTCGATTAATCGATATTCGATGTTTTTTAGAAATAATCGATTATTTTTGTCGATGTTTTTTATTTTGATTAATCATTAATCCGATGTTTTTAAATTCGATTAATTAATAATTCGATGTTTTTAGAACCGATTAATCGATATTTTTATATAGATTTATTAACTGCATTAGAGCATGTTATAAAATGTATTTGCATCATGCGTTAGAGAACTTATATAATAAGAGAGTCGACAATTTGTCACGTAATCTGAATCGCGCTATGCGTCCTGAGACTCCTGAGTCAATCAGCGCACAATTCGGATCACATGACAAGTTGTCGACTCTCTTATTATAGCCTCTCTAGGTTGCGTTTAACAGACAAAGTAGATCTGGGAGTTGATTGTATTTTGAAACGAGCTAAAAATTACAAAAATAAGCATAAATCATTGAGCGTGAAAGATCGCCATACACATTTTCCAGGAGCACATAAAATGCGTAACAAAGCATAAGCATAGCATAAAGCGGCTAGACCAATGAATTTTATGTAAATTAATATGGCGACTTTATGCTGGCTGCTCATTGGTCGAGCGGTCTTATGGTTATGCTATATTATACATTTTATGTATTCCCGGTTTAACCGAAAATGTGTACGGCTAACGGCAGCTTTCATTGATCCATTGATGACATTGATCTCTGCTGACTGTGATATCTGCTTTGAACGCAAGTCGCAAACTGCAATTATATTGTACGGCGTACGTCGTATAGTGCTGTTAATTACGCTCTCGTGAGCGTATATGTGTTTTCGAAAGAATAAACTTCAAATCTTAAAAGTGAGCTTAATAACCTCACTTTTATATTTTATCGTGATTCGTGTTATATCACCTCGTAGAGAGGTTGAAGGCTCAAAGCTATCACCTGGTGGCACACCAAAAAGACTTCACTCGACAGTGGCATTACTCATATTTTATCGATATCATCGATGTGTCAACTATCAAAGTTGGGTGTTTTGTCATTGCATACAATTTGAAGGATCCCAAATAAACGTATGTAATTTCTTCTTTTTTCTATACTGTTCTATACAATTCTATACTTAACTGTATTATACTGAGGTGCGTTTCGATTCCCTACACAGGTGCATCCAGGTATCATTTTATCCTTGTTTAACATTCAATGAACAATAAAAATAAAATGGTATGTGGATAGGGAATCTGAAGATTCTGAAATCTGAAGTATCGGAATGGGGAGTATCTCGATTGACCATGCTACGACTGGACACAACTACTCACAGTGACCGGTGCTTAGAGGTTTTCTAGTTTCAAGCATTGTAATTGCGCTGTTATTGACTTGTGTCCAATCGTAACGTGGTCAATCGGATACCATCTATCGGAACGCATCTCAATATAAAACATTAAAATCTAACAAATATAAAAGAATTTTATAATATAATTATGCTTTTTTTATTTTAATTGTAGATAAATATCATGAGTATGACATCGAAAAAAATTAAGAGCGATGTATGGAAATACTTCACAAAAGAGAACTCAATCTCTGCTAGATGTATTCTTTGCACAAAGATAATAAAACACGGAGGTAATACGACGAATTTGCACAACCATTATAAGAATGTACATAAAGTACATGTAGGATCCAAACCGACTGAACCGTGTTGGCCGAAGCGATTAAAAACGAAAGCTGCTGTAGACACAATTAACGAAGAGAAATTAAATACACATAATCAAAGACAAACAATGTCTATAATAGATATTTCTACTGACAGCAATATTGATGATCCAATACCAACAAGTGAACAAGATTTCTCTTCAGAAAACAGCATATCAACTGTAGATTCACTTCAGGGAGTCCAGGACTCAAAATTTAAAACTAAACAAAAGGTAATTATTTTTGTATATTCGAAGAGATTACTTTAAGAATTTTTTAGTGATGTTAAAAAGATACTTTTTATTTCATAGTTCTCTATTTAGATAATTTTGTATTTACATAATTCTGTAATTTAGGACATTATTTTTGACATAAAAAGATATTTATACTAAAATTAACGTTATTATTTATGATTATATGACAGTTTATTTTTTTCAGGTTAAATCGAGAGATTTTAATAGACTTACTAAAATTACAGAATCATTTACACGAATTAATTCTTTCATGGGTCAGTAAGATAAATTTTTTTAGTTAATATCTAATTGAATAAAATATAAGTCACGCTATAAAATATTTTGTCTTTTCTCTGTCTCACAGATGGTGGTTCTTCAGCAAACAAACTCACGAACTGTATTCATTTCATGATTGCATCAGAATGCAAAACCTACCACTATCTATCGTGGAAGGTAAAGCATTCAAACGTCTGATGAACACAGCTGTCCCGTTATACTCTGTTCCTAGCAGAAGAACCATTACTCGTCTGATTGATGCTAAGTATGATCTTCTAAAAGAAAGATTTAAACACGATCTGAAACTCGCTTCTACTTATACGTTAACGTGTGATATTTGGACGGATGTGGGCAATCAAAGCTATCTAGGCGTCACCGTCCATTATTTACAGCATGATTTAGTTTTGTCTAACGCGACGATAGGTGTTTTTCCACTGACGGAAAATCATACTGCTAATTATGTTAAAGAAACGTTATTATCCATAATAGAGTCATTTGAAATAGATATATCGAATATCACAGCTTTGGTCACCGACAGCGCTGCCAACATGAAAAAAGCGATCACTGATGGATTTGGTTCTACTAAACATTTGCCTTGCATCGCGCATGCTTTATCCCATTTAGTTCCAGACGCTATGAAACTGAGTCCTCGTATAACAGAAATTATCGGTAAATTAAAGTCTATCGTAACTCTAGTAAGACGGAGCGTCGTGGCATCTGACGAGCTCAAACGATTGCAAATACGTGATGGAAAAAGTGAAAATACAATATTAAAATTTAAACAAGTTGTTCCAACGCGTTGGAATTCGACTTACTATATGATTGAGCGTTTCCTACAACTAAAAGATTATGTATATCCTGTACTTTTAACGTGTGCAACGGCTCCCACAATACTTTCTCGTGAGGAAATTAATATTTTAGAAGATATTGTATTAATTTTAGGTCCGATCGAATTTGTTACTACCGAAATAAGCGGTGATTCGTATCCGACTAGTAGTTTAGTAATTCCTATTATTCACTGTATGGAAAGTAAAATAAAAAACTGCGTTCCCTTAACAGTTGAGGGCATTATATTCAAAGATAATATTTTATCTGAAATTCAACGACGCTTCAATGAAATTGAGTCGTATCAAATACTTGCAGTATCAACTCTTCTAGATCCGCGATATAAACGCATGCATTTTCAGTCACCGAGAGCTACTTCCGCTGCTTTATCATGCATTAACATTCAATTAAAATCAATTTCTACTAATAACACAAACAAAATAGAATGTCAGGAATCGCGAAGTAAGAGCAAAACTAATAAGTTTGATGTGTGGACTGTTCATAACAGTTTAATCGAATCATGTGTATCATCTATCGATGAATCTGGTGGCATGAATCTTGAATTACGACAATATTTAAATCAGCCACCTATCTCGCGAAATCAAAATCCATTTGAACATTGGCAGACACTTAAGCCTGCTTATCCGACACTCTTTACAATCGCAATGCGTTATTTATCTGTTGTTGCAACCTCAGTTCCTTCCGAGCGCCTTTTTTCAAAAGCTGGAATTATTAAATCAGACATAAGAAATAGACTTAGCGGAAAACGATTAAATTATTTACTCTTTTTGGGTTCACTTAGTGAACACATTTGGACACTTGACTAACAAAAA